CAAGGCTCGATCTCACGAACTGTGAGATCATGACCTGAGCCAAAATCAAGAGTTGGATGCTTAACTAACTGATGCTTAACCGGGTGCCCCTCGATGCCCCACTTTCAATAATGGGTAGAACATCCAGACAGAAGGTCAGTTAGGAAACAGAGGATCTGAACAACAGTATAGACCAGATGAACCTAAGAGACATACAGAGAACACTCCACCCAACAGCAGCAGAATACACATTCTTCTCAGGAGCACAAGGAACATTCCCTAGGACATAGCACATGTCAGGTCACAAAATGAATTTAAGAAGATTGAAGTCATACCAGGCATCTTTTCTGACCGTGGTGGACTAAAACTAGAAATACATAGCAGAAGGCAAGTTCACAGGCGTTACCAGCAACGACCAGTGGGTCAAAGAAGAAATGGGGCAATTAAAAAACACCTCGAGACAAAATCGAAAACGGAACATGCCTGAACTTACAGGATGCGGCAAAAGCTGTACTGAGGGGGAGGTTTCTAGTGATACGTACCTACAGTAAGGGAAGGAAACATCTCAGATTTAAAAACCTAACTACACGCCTCGAGAAATGAGAGAAAACAGCCAACTGAGTCCAAAGTTGGCAGAAGGGAAGAAATAATAAATGTAGCAGTAATGTCTGGCAGGGTCTGCTCCTGCCCCCTCCCCCACCCCTAGCTCTCATTCCAGGGGGAGGAGCCGGCAGACACGGGCACAGCCCAGCAGAGGCATTGCAAATGTTCCTAAAGTAGTATGGTTGGGCTTCTTCTCTTGATTTGATTTGTTTCCCTTCTTCTTAGGGCACAATGGAGTATGTTTTTGAATTGGATGTTTCAGGGAAAGTGGAAGATGTCGTGGAAACGTTGCTTCAGGTAAGCCAGCGCCTTCCTCGGGCATTCCCTGGGCAGAGAATTCAAAGCACACTTAGGCAGAAACTTAAAAAAGGAAAAAAAAATCTTATTTATACATCTCTCTAAAACCATAATTTCTTTTCTAAATATGAAGCAGATTTACTTGAATATGTTGCATTTGAAAACTGTATGTTAGGAAGAAGTCACAGATGTATCAGAAGTGATCTTACCTGTTACCGAGGAACAGAATGATTGCTGGTTTTCATTGCTTCTAAGGAAATATCTTTGTATCGTTTTGGAGAAAAAATAAATAAATTCTTGTACATTTGTATATTGTAGCTTCACAGAGCGTCCTGCCTTGACAAACTTGGGGACCAAACTGCTATGGTAAGAGTTTCTAGAGATCGGTGTCTTTTTCGTGAATTAAATTGTATTGAGGTTTCACTCCTAAATCCTTATTTTTTAATGGTTCTGTTTTAATAGATAACCGCTATTTTGCAGTCGCGTTTGGCTAGGACATCATTTGACAAGAACAGGTAAGTTTTTAATGATTTCGTTCCCAGATTCTAAAAGCAGCAGATGTCTTTGATCCGTGTGCCTCCTTTGGCCTGTCCCAGACCGCCGATGTCACCGCCCGGGCCCCCAGACCTGCGTGTTGTCGGGAATGTCCCTGCCTCCACTTCTCCATCCTGACTTGGGTCAGCCAGACAGGCCTGTGGACTGATGCTCACTAAGATCTTTCTAGGCCGTCAACTTCCATCTTTTCACCCTGCTGTTGCCGGAGTTCAGGCCTCCACTGCTTTCACTCAGAACACTGTAGCGGCTGTGAGCTTGTCCACCTGACTCCAGTCTTCCCTTTTCCTATTCTCTCTTCCCTACCGAGCATGCCTTGAAAATGTGCTTTTTCTAAGGAACTTGATTATATCGCACGTCTGTTTAAAACTCTTCAGGATTTATGGGGCGCCTGGGTGGCGCAGTCGGTTAAGCGTCCGACTTCAGCCAGGTCACGATCTCGCGGTCTGTGAGTTCGAGCCCCACGTCGGGCTCTGGGCTGATGGCTCAGAGCCTGGAGCCTGTTTCCGATTCTGTGTCTCCCTCTCTCTCTGCCCCTCCCCTGTTCATGCTCTGTCTCTCTCTGTCCCAAAAATAAATAAACGTTGAAAAAAAAAAATTAAAAAAAAAACTCTTCAGGATTTCCAGCTGCCTTCAGGGTAAAGTCTGAATCTTACGTGGCTTAGGTTCTAGCCCTTGTGTATGCAGTACGTGTGGTCGCTGGTGTCCTGTGGAATTCTGTGCTCCAGCTCTTTGCATCTGTGCAGATCCTGAATCAAATGGTCTCTTCCCTCTGAGCCTTCCTGCATGTTCCCTGTACTGAGAGCATTCAGCCTCCTTCCTCTTTTGCATCTGGCTGACTCTTACTTATTCTTCTGATTTCAGCTTGGCTGAAGTCACTTGTGTCCAGTTGTTCTAGAAAGTCTTATCCGACCCTTCAAGCTGTGATAGGTACCTTACTAAGGTGTCCTGTGGGGACTGGGAAACTATATTCCTACTAGTCCAGTGATTTTTTTCATTGATTTTCTCAGCTTTTCTAAGTATACAACATATTTCCTGCAAATAATTATGCTTTTTGTACAGACCTGTGTTCTTATTGGTTTCTTGCCTTCTATTAAGTAGATCTGCATTTCCTCTTTAATACCACTGTATCACTCATTGTAACTGTATAATAACTCTTGATATTTACAGGTTCAGGGCCTCACACTTTATTTTCCTTTTCAGTTTATGTCTTCGCTATTCTTGGCCTTATCCTGCACTTCTATATACATTTAAAAACAGCTTGTCAAGTTCCATAAAAGAAAGCCCGCTGGGATTCTGATTGGGATTGCAATGAATCACTCATTTATTTAGGCCTTCTTTAACGTCTTCCTTATGATTTTCTCTGTAAAGGTCTTTCCCCACTTGTGTTAGATTTATTCCAGGGACTTCGTATTTCTGACAGTGTTGTAAATGATGTCCTAAAGATTCCTTTCCTGTTCATTGTTGATACGTGGAATGCAGTGGATTTTTGTGTATTCAGTTTGTGGCTAAACTTCGTGATCAGTGCCATTAACTTTATATGTAAGTTCTTTAATATGTACAAAATCTTGTCATAAATTATTACAGTCCCTGTTCACTAAATACCATTTTTATTTTAGATTCTTATTTTAGATTCCTGCATTTGTTTTGTTTTGTTTTTTTTTTTTAACGTTTATTTATTTTTGAGACAGAGAGAGACAGAGCATGAACGGGGGAGGGGCAGAGAGAGAGGGAGACACAGAATCAGAAGCAGGCTCCAGGCTCTGAGCCATCAGCCCAGAGCCCGACACGGGGCTCGAACTCACGGACCGCGAGATCGTGACCTGAGCTGAAGTCGGACACTTAACCGACTGAGCCACCCAGGCGCCCCTTAGATTCCTGCATTTGTAATGACTCCAGCTTAAGACAACGTAGAAAGTATTGGTTGAATAGACTCATTTATGGATTATCATATGCCAGGCTTTTGCTCCAGGCTTATGTTTATAAATGAGATTAGTTTGTAATATTCTGTTTTATTGCTATCTTTGTGGGATTTGTGACCTTACACTACATTTTAGAGTGTTGAAGCACTTGCCAGGAAAGCCATCTGGCCAATAATGTTTCTCTGTGTATGTTTGTTTGCTTCTCTTTCTGCTTCACCTACAAAGCATTAATTTTTCTTTCTGTTTTAATACTTGCAGGATATTTTAGGTAAATGGATTGCCAGGGGAAGAATAGCTTCCTTTTTAGGAAGGAAAAGGAATAAGAAGAATTAGCTTCTCTTGACCTACTTAGAATGCATAATTCTGAGTAGCGATTTTTTCAGTCCTGGGCTTCAGCATCGCATTAATTTTAAAAATGGCTCACTGTGGAGGTTTTAATTTAATCCAGCCTCCAAAATGTTAGGCTGAAGAATTTAGAGAAGAAACTTTTACTGTATAAAATGCGATATTCCTGTGTGGTATACTTCCTCTCAAAGAAAGGTAAACTTTGACCATCATAGTTCCAAGGAAATACTTTCTTATTGAAGAAATAAAAGATAACTACATTTATTTTTCTCTACTGTTCATTCTGAAAATTTTCAAATCCTCACAAGTCCGAAGAATAACATAATGAACAGAGATACCCTATGAGTCACCAAGGGTTAATTTGTTAACATTTTGTCAGATTTGCTTTAGTTCTTGCACGTTCTGTGTTTGTGTGTGTACAAGTGTGTGTGTGTGTGTATGTGTGGGTGTATGTCTGATATTTATATTTCCTTTATACTTACATATATGTGTATATACATTATAAGTCGTGTGTACTTGTACGTAAATGTGTTACCTATAAAATATTCTTTTTCAGAATCACTAGAAATTACATTGCAAGACATGACACTTTACCCATAACTATCTCAACTTGTGTCTTTTACAAGGATCTTCTCTGGCACCCCTCCATTTTGTTACAGTACTCAAGTGGCAATCATTCTATAGCATCATGTAATTTATAGTGTCATATTCAAGTTGCCCCCATATGTACCCCAAAAATCCCCTTGAAAGTCTTTTGTTTTGGACTAATTTGGGGTATAAAGGAAAGGTGTAAAGATAGCACACAGAGTTCTACAACTCACCTGCTTTCTCCTGTTGTTATATGGTTAGTCTGTCGATGTGGTCATATTTGGTTGGACAGATTCCTAGATTTGTGAGATCTTTTGTCGCTACTTAAATGTTTTCTTCCAATTATTTGTTACTGGTATGTAGAAATACAGTGTTTTGTTGTTGTTGTTGTTGTTGTTGTTGCCTGCTTTGATTTTTACATCCACCTTGTATCCTGTGACATTTCCAGGTTTACTCATTAGTCCTGGTGGGTTTCTGTAAATTGCGTAGTTTTCTGTATACATAATCGTTTCATCTGTGAATAATGACAGTTTCACAGAAATCCTCATGGCTTTTATTTCTGCGTTTTGCCTCATTGTGCTGTTTAATTAATGGATGTGATGGGAGCACATACTTGCCCTGTCCTTGATCTTACTGGAAAAGGGTTTGTTTCACCGCTGAAGAATGAGGCTAGCTCTAGGTTTTTTATAGATGCCCTTCATCAGAATGAGGAAGCTCCATTTTATTCCTGGTTTGCGGAGAGCATTTTCAATAATAGGTTTAGAGTTTTGTTAATTTTTTCTTCTGCACTTCTTGAAATGATCATTTTTTTTCCACTTTATTCTGTTAATGTTGTGAATTACATTGATTTTTTCAATGTTCAACCAACCTTATTCATGGGATAAATCCAACTTGATCATAATATATTCTCCTTTTTTATTACTTGATATTACTAGGTTTGCTTTGCTAGTATTTTGTAAAGGATTTTTGCCTCTATGTTCATGAGGGATGTTGCTCCATAAATCTTTAATGTATCTGTCGGGATTTGCTATCAGGGTTCTCTATTGGCCTCATCAGATGAGTTTAGCAATGTTCCGTCATCCTGTTTTCTGAAAGACTGCTTGTCAGATTGTATTTCTTTCTTAAGTTTTTAACAGAATTCATTGGTAAAGCCATATAGGCCTGAGGGCTCTTACTCATTTATTTACTAGACATGAGACTGTGTATGTTGTCTGTTTCTTCCTGTGTCTGTTTTGGTTACGCTGTGTTTTTCAAAAAATTTGTCCACTTCATGGCACATTTTATTGGTGTGAAATTGTTATTGTCCTTTTAATGTCAGTAAGATCTGTCGTGATGGTCGTCCCTCTTTCATTCCTTACATTGAAGCTGTGTGTTTTCTCTTTTCTTTCTTTGCCAGCTTTTCCAGGACTTTGTCAATTTTATTAACCTTTCGAAGAACTAACTTTTGACTTTATTGATTTTTCTCTACTTTTCTATTTTATATAAAATGGATTTCCCCTCTTCTGATTTCCTTCCTTCAGCTTCCTTTGGGTTTAACTGTTCTTTTTCTAGCTTCTTACAAAAATCAGATCAGCAATTTTAGACCTTCTTTTTGTACTTACATGTAAATTGGCCTCTAAGCACTGCTTCACCTGCAGCCCACACATTTTATGTTTTCACTGTCATTACTGCAAAAATATTTTGTAATTTCCTGTGCCATCTCTTCTGCGACCCATGGATTATTTAGAAGTGTGTTATTTAACTTCAGCCTATTTGGGGATTTTGTTATTATTGTTACTGACGTTTAGTTAAATACCATCTTGGTTCAGAGAATACGTTCCATATGACTCCAGTCTTTTGGTACTGTTGAGATTTGCTTTCAGCCCAGCATATGGGCTGTCTTGGTGAAAGCTACGTATGTCCCTGAAAGGAAGGTGTGCTGGGCAGTTGTTGAATATAGTGTTGAGTAAATGCCATTTGGTTCCACCTAGCTGATGGTTGTTTTGATCATCTATACTCTATCAAGTTTTTGTTGATTTGTTTTATCAGTTACTGCAAGAAAGGTGTTAAAATTGCCAGTAATGATTGTGGGATTATTCCCCTCCCATTTCTGTCAGTTCATGGCTTATATATTAGGAAGCTATATTGTTGGGTTCACGCACATTTTGATGTGTAATATCTTCTTTTTTTCAAATGTTTATTTTGACAGAGAGACAGAACGTGATGAGTGGAAGAGGGTGAAAGAGGGAGAGAGGGAGGGAGGATCCCAAGCAGGCTCTGCACTATCAGCCCAGAGCCCGACACAGGGCTCAGTCTCACGAACCACGAGATCATGACCTGAGCCGAACTCAAGAGTCAGATGCTCGGGGCGCCTGGGTGGCGCAG